CAACTCATGCCGACGACCTCCGGGGCATCTTTGAAATCATGAAGAAGTACAACCTCCGGCTCAACCCGAAGAAGTGCACCTTCGGCGTCCAGGGAGGTAAATTCTTGGGGTACCTGGTCAGCCGAAGGGGCATTGAAGTGAACCCAGAGAAAATACAAGCCATCATCAATATGGAGCCACCCCGCAACATCAAAGAAGTCCAACGGCTGACGGGACGCCTTGCGGCCCTGAACCGTTTCCTCTCAAAATCCGCGGAGAAGTCGCTCCCCTTCTTTCAGATAATGAGAAAGGCCACCAGCTTCAAGTGGACGACGGAGTGCCAACAGGCCTTTGAAGAACTGAAACAATATCTCGCCTCCCCACCCGTCCTATCCAAACCCCAGCCCGGCGAGACTCTCTTCCTCTACTTGGGGGTGAGCACGTCGGCCATCAGCTCCGTACTCATCAGGGAGGATGACGGGGTACAAAAAGCAATATTCTACGTCAGCAAGACGTTGCGGGAGGCCGAGCTCAGGTACTCCCCCATTGAGAAGACGGTACTGGCCATCGCCCACACGGTGAAAAAACTCGGCCACTACTTCCAGGCTCACCCCGTCCACGTCCTCACGCATCAGCCGTTGGGCGCCCTCATGAGGAGCCCAACCAGCTCTCCAAGGATGATCAAATGGGCAATATTCCTAAGCCAGTACCAGATTGAGATCAAGCCGAGGCCATCCATCAAAGGGCAAGCCTTAGCTGACTTCGTCACCGAGTGCACGGCAAGGGAGACGGCCGTTACCACCACAGGAGTTGAACCAGACGAAGCTTGGACCCTCTACACGGACGGGTCCTCGGCCACCAAAGCTTGTGGAGGTGGCGTCGTCCTCATCTCCCCGGAAGGATTCAGAGCATACTATGCCATACGCTTCAACTTCAAAGTATCCAACAATGAGGCCGAGTATGAAGCGCTCCTCAGCAGACTCAGACTGGCCGCCGGCCTTAAAGCGCGCCACGTCAGAATCAAATGCGACTCCAAACTCGTAGTGAGCCAGATGGAGGGTTCCTACGAGGCCAAAGAAGGGAGAATGAAGCAATACAAGGAGGCCGCTGCGGAATTGCTCAAGGCGTTCGATACCTACGAGATCACTCAGATCCCAAGGGCGGAGAACGCCGAGGCCGACATACTCTCCAAACTCAGCTCCGACACCCCTGAGCACATCTCCAAGATAGCTAAGGTGGAGGAGTTGAGCATGTCAAGCATTCATGCTAGCCCTATACTCTCCATCCAACACCAGCCGAAGGACTGGATCACTGACATCGCAACATACATCACCTCCGGCACACTACCAGAAGACGAGGAGAGGGCCAAACTAGCCAAGCTCAGGGCCCCAAGCTATGTCATTGAGGATGACAAGCTCTACAAGAGATCATACAACGGCACCCTCCTCCGGTGTCTACACCAGAATGAGGCCGAAGTGGCCATGGAAGAAGTCCACTGCGGCGTCTGTTCATCACATCAGGGGCCCTTTAGCATGTCGCGCCGCCTCGTCGTCCAAGGCTACTTCTGGCCAACGATGGCACGTGATTGTGCTGAGGTCGCCCGCAAATGCACCGCATGCCAACACTATCAAAGGGCACCTGGCCGACCGGCCGTCAACTACGCCCCGGTCAGCACCGCCATTCCATTCTCCAGATGGGGCATCGACCTCGTCGGCCCTCTACCAAGAGCTGCGGGCAACAACAGATACATCATCGTCGCCATCGACTACTTCACCAAATGGGTCGAAGCCGAACCACTCGCGAGCATCACCGGAGCGCGGTGTCGTAAGTTCGTCTACAAGAACATCCTCACCCGCTTCGGCGTGCCGCAGGAGATCATATCAGACAACGGCACCCAGTTTGAGGCCGAACCGTTCCAAAGCCTCCTCCGAGAATGGGGTATCAAGCACCGTTTCTCCTCCGTTGCCTACCCTCAGGCCAACGGGCAGGTTGAGAACGCCAACAGAACCATCTTGGAGGGGCTGAAGAAGAAACTCGAGGAAGAGGGCGGAAGTTGGGACGACGAGCTCCCCAACGTCCTATGGTCCTACCGCACCACGCCAAGGAGGGCCACCGGGGAGACACCATTCTCCTTGTGCTACGGCTTCGAAGCCAAGGCTCCCACTGAAGTCACCCTCCCCAGCCGACGGGTCACACAATACGACCCCGAAGCCAATGAAGAATCCATGAAGATTGATTTGCACCTCATTGATGAAAGGCGGGAGATGGCTTACCTTCGGGCAGAAAACTACAGACGACAAGTCAAATCCTACTACGACGCCAAGGTCCGCTCTCGCGAATTCCAGGTGGGGGACTACGTCCTCCGCCGAAGGGAAGCAAGCAAGCCAACAGAAGGAGGAAAGCTCGCCGTCAAATATGAAGGGCCCTACATCATCAGCGCCGTCATCAAAGCCGGCACTTATAAACTAAAGAACCCTAATGGGTCAGATGTACCACGATTGTGGAATGTACACCACCTGGTGAAATTTTACCAATGACTCGAGAAGTGGTGAAGCGGGCAACGTCCCCCACCCCTCGGCTTATTGGTTGAATACAACACCCTCGGCCTAGCGCCACTTATTGAATAAAATTCATGATTCATCCAGTCTTGAAATTTGAACAAAGGGAAACCTAAGGACCGCATCGGCCTAAGCGGTGAAAACACCCGGGACCGATGCGACCTAAAGCCGTCGCAATAAACGACGCACCTAAAAGCCGTTGCAATAAACAACGCACCTAAAAGCCGTTGCAATAAACAACGCACCTAAAGCCGTCGCAATAAACGACGCATCCAAAGCCGTTGCAATAAACAACGCACCTAAAGCCGTCGCAATAAACGACGCACCTAAAAGCCGTTGCAATAAACAACGCACCTAAAGCCGTCGCAATAAACGACGCATCCAAAGCCGTTGCAATAAACAACGCACCCAAGGCCGTTGCGATCCACAACGCGCCTACTAAGCCGTTGCAATAAACAGCGCACCTAAATATCGTATCGGCACAAGCGGTGAAACACCCAAATCGGCCGGCGATATGCAGGACGAAGGACCTGTGTGCATGGTCCAACGTCTTCAAACGGAGAAGCATACCGCGTCGTCCGCGCGGAAACCGCAGGACGACAGGCCTGAATTAAGGCTGAGGTTACAAAAACTCCACCCGTCAGTAAAATTTCGCTCAGGACCACAAAGGGCGGCCGTCAAAAGACGATGCCTTGTCCGGTCCCTCGTCGACGATAGACGTGGAAAGGCCAAAAAAGGAAGCCACTGACACCAAGCCGAGGGCGTATTTACTCCCTCGCACTAATCCACGCGAAAAGCGTAGCGGGCAAAATACCGCACATGGCCGAAGGGACAGTAACCCTTCGGCCACCCAAAAAAAAAAAAAAAAAAAAAAAAAAAAAAAAGAGGGAAGCCGACGGACCGTGCACTCGCCGGCCTCGAGCATAAAACAAAATCCCCACAAAAACCAAAGCCTCAAAGTTGGCTAAGTACATATCAGGTTTTCACTATACAAGGATCCGAAGTGCACGCTTCGGCCTCAACCATAGCGTCACAAAAGGGAATCGCTTCGGCTTCGGTTATACAAAACCACAGTCCATTATTTGGACGATGGGACGCATCATCTCCAATTAGCAAAAACCAAGCGACGAACCAAAGCAAAACAGCTCCATCAAGACAAGTTTGAGACGGAGCGCTACGGCCTCAACACTTCAGGATTAAGTTCCAAAAACTCGACTCAGGAAAGATGTAAGGGCAAAAATGGAATTCATCAAGGGACGACGAGGCGCACCGTCTTCAAAGAAAGGAGGTCGCTACGTCTCAGCTAACGGACGTCACAAGATAAACTCTTGACACTTAGAAAGATTTCAGAACTTTGGGGCCATGCCTTACCTAAGACGCAAGGGACGTAGCGGGGCGCCAAGAAAAAGTTTCTACACTTGGTAAAATTTTTGAAACATGTTCTAAACACAACAGTTCAGACGAAGGGGCGCATCGTCCCTATTATAAAACGCAGGGAACGCGCGCAACGTCCTCACACACATACCAGTGAGGCGAGGGTGCGCCCACATCAACAGAGGAAATGATGGAACGCATCGTCTCAAAATTGGCAAATTTGCCAACATAAAAACTTGCGAAGCAATGTCACTCAGACGACGCGACACCAACAAACCAAACGCCAAACATAACGAGAAAAGCGAGGAACAAACACTTGGACAAAAAGAGTTACCTTTAATTGATGATTCAAAAAATACAAAGGGGGCGCTTCGGCCGTTACAATCATCAGGGCACTTCGGCCATTGAGACTACTACAAAAGAAAAAAGAAAGCTAAGTACAAATACTAAACAGCTTGTCCTTGGCCACCCTCGACGGCTCCGCTGTCCGCATCGTCTTGCTCATCTTCAGTATTTTTTGACTTGGTCGAGGTCCGGAAGAGGTAATCATCACTCTCGGTCCAGGGCTCGTCCTCTTCATCCGAGCTCAGGATGGGGGGCTGCCTCTCAGACAGCGGGAGCTTCAACTCTTCCTCGGGGTCTTTCATCATCCGGGGAAGGCCGATACCCCTAGGCTTCAGGTTCTTTACACGCCGGCGGAGGCGGCGGTAAACCAACATCTGCATACGCCTCTGGCCGAGGTCGTACCAGACTTCAAACTCCTCCTTCAAGCGGGCTCGGCCGGCTTCCTCCTGAGACCACGCTTCGAAGCGCTCCGCCACGACCTTAAAACTCCAGTCGTGGCAGGTCTCGTCCTTCCACCCTTCGGCCATGAAGAGCTCCACGGCTCTGTCAGCAGCCGCAGCCGCATCGGCTTCTACCTTCACGGCCCTTTCTTCTGCTAGCCGACGGGCGGCCGCTTCCTCATCCAGCTGAGCTTTAAGACGCCTCGCCTCGTCCTCAGCAGCAACGGCTCTCCTTTCAGCCGCATCAGACTTTTCCTTCAGGGAGTCGGTCTCAATTCGGAGCCGATCCAACTGGGAAAGTGCCTCGTCCGCAGAAGCGGCCTTCTTTTCAGCCTCCCGGAGGCGGGTCATCTCCTCCTCCTGTCGGCGCTGATGCTCCATCAGCATAAAAGCTCCCTGCAAAAGACAGATAATCATCAAGAGAGGAAAGGAATACAAGAAAATTACTAAGTACCAAGTCAGGAATTTACCTGGACGACGTAGTCTAGTCCTCCATCGAAGAGACGCACATCCTTGCCTTGCCGGCGTAAATACGCCCTATCCTCATCTGGGATAGCCTGGAACAGGACGTCATGCCCAGATACCTTCTCATTGAAGAGCCCGCCCTTCGTCGGGTACCGGACCGTCACCTCATACAGGCCCGCGGCCACATCACGGCCGGTGCGGGTACTCTCCTTGGCAACAGCGCCGGGTTGAGTGGGAGCAAGGGCTGACGACGCAATGTCCAGCGTCAGGTCTTCAATCACCGGAATCTCAGACGCGTGCTCAGCGACTGCAGCAGCACCACCAGAAGCAGGGTCTCGTCTCGTCTTCTTGGCAGCCTGGCCCGGCACCAGACCCGTCTCAGCCAAGGTGCGCTGGCCCTCATCGGGCTTCTTCTTCCGCTTCACTACTGGCTTTTTCGCCGCTTCGGCCTGAGATTTCGAGCCGTCGCCCGAACCCTTTGACGCTTCGGCTTTCTGAGCTGCCTCCATCTCCTTGGCCACCAGCTTTTTGGCCTGGGACATAAACATCTTCCGGCTCATGGTGAAGTCTGTAAGACACAAAAACAAGAGTTAGAAAAATAAGTAAAGCAAAAGGGACCGGGAGCCAAAGGAAAGTGATCAACCTTCGGCATCGGCCGGGACACCGAAGTAGGGCCCATCGGCCTGCTCAAAGTAGCCGGATATCTTCGGCCATAATCCGCAATCAGGGTCGCCGGGAATATGGTACCGCATCATCCCTAGAGCTGCTATCTTGAATTCGGTAATGTAAGTGTGGACGCTCCGCGGCCCACCCTTCAAGAACGCCTCCACTTGAGCATCAATCTCAGGGCTCCTCGGTGGGTTGTGCAAATTGAAGATGCCGTTGTGCCCCTGAGAAGGAAAAAACACCCCACCGGCCAGCTTCACAAAGCAAAACTTACTCTTCCACCCATGAATAGACGACGGGAGGTCAGTAAAGGATCTTTTCTTCGGCAACTGCTGGAGGGCCGCATATCCAGCACAATTCTCATGGCTACCCCGACCGATCCGGTACAAGTTTGTGAATAACGCCGTCGTCGGCTCAATACCAAGCTCATCGCATCGGATGAGGAACCCCACAATAAGGGAATAGCTGTTCGGGGTTAATAAGGCGGGTGGAAGGTCTATCATATGGAGATACTCCACGACGAACGGATGAAGAGGAAACCTTAAACCCTGGGAGAAGCTCATCGGATACACTCCGAAGTAACCGGGGGGCGGATCCAGAACATGGTCCGTCGGCTTCGGCGCCCTAACCCTCCCATAAGGACCGACGTAGAGCTGTGCCACCTGATATTCACCTTGGGAACCCTCCGGCTTTATGATGTAGAGGTTCGTCAGATCAAGCTGTGAAAGACTACTGGATAAACCCTTCCGACGACGCGAGTTACGTCTCTTGGAGTTAGAGGCAGACGAGGTAGCACCTGGGACCGAAGTGATTGGGGGAGGACAAGGAATAGCGGCCGAGGATGCATCACCCGCATCATCGCCTCGGAACTTGGGGTCAGAGGTCGCTTCGTCCTCACCAGAAGGCTGAGAACCCGCATCATCCACCGGGCGCTCCTCGTCCACGGAGGTACGATAGTCGGCAGTATTCTCCATCTCGAACTCAAAGGCCGCCACAATATCTAGGTCCACTTTGGGAGACGCGTCGTCCTCGTCAAAAGGCCAATCAGACTCGTCCAATGAAGCTGTTAGGTCAACAGGAGAGGGAACGCTACGGCCGTCAGGGAACGGCATAACAACTATCGCTACGTCCTAAGGGTAGTTTTCGGATCAAAGTGACTTTCCTAAAGAACACTAGATCTAACACCCTAGGGAGCAAAATATGAAGAAATCAAAGGAAAATTAAGAGTATCTAACCTTAGAAGATTTGAAGAAAGCGACGAACACTTGGGAAATCTCGGGACTTTATCTCTCTAGAAAAACTTGGGCAGCAATTCGACAAACAGCAGGGCACGAATGAAGAAGTGGCTTCGGAGTAAGGAAGTATTTATAGAAAACTTCCAAACGGTCACTACACGTGGCGCCATCCCATTGGCTCCACCAACGGCCACCTCTCTTCCAACCAATCAAGGGGCCCCAATTCAAAGTTACTCATGGAAGTATCCCCTACGGCCAAAACTTGAACTCAAAAAAGCAAGGCATCGGCCGAAGTACCGCTGCGGCCCATTTACTACAAAACTCCGAAGGGGAAGGCATCGGCTTAGAACTCGACGTCCTCACAAACAACCCAAGGAACCTTAAATAGACCGCTACGGCTGCTTGTGCGCGCATCGTCGATGATAACCCTGGCATTGCGGCCTTCGTCCAAGGGTTCTCCCACAGGGTTACCTTGGACAGGTTCGCCTAAGGGTTGGAGTCACGACTAAACGCATAGGTACCGGATCGGCTCATTACTCCCTTATGCCTCAGATGCTCTTCGGCCAAAGGAGTGGGGGACTGGGGGACTGTATCGGCCACAAAAAGAGAGAACGCAACGGCCAATAACAAAAGATTGCATCGGCTAGCCATTAAAATACTAAGGATTACGATTGGCTATAAAATCACTAGATCAGCTACACAGCATAGAGCAGCGCGCATCGGCTTATTCACTAGCAGTGCTACGTCCACCAATGCAAGAGGATCGCAACGGCTGCGTACACTGAGAAGACCGCATCGTCTCACCATAACAAAAACTCACAAGTCAAAACGCTTCGGCTGCATAACGAATCAAAGGTGCGCATCGCGTCGTCTACATAAACAGAATCAAGCATCTTCATCTCAGGGAAATAGGCCTTCGCTACGGCCAAAAGGATAAAAGGGAGCTCTTCGGCTCCAACAAGATAACAGCGAAGGCATGCCAAATTATCCACCAAGGATTCATCGTATCATCTACAAAAGGAAGCACATCGCCTCGTCTTCAGAGGCACTCCCACAGGGTGTGCATCAGCCCGCATCAAGGCTATGAGTTCCCAAGCACGCTTCATCTACATCAAATAAAGGAACCGCTTCATCCAAAATCAAAGCAGGAATTCTACGGCCATCAAACGCCTTAGACTCACGCAACGGCTACACAGAAAGGAACAAGTACTCCCTTTCGCTTCGGCTTCACCTCAGCTCAGAGAGTGGGGGACTCCTGATAGAGTATATGGGCATGGACCCCAGAGCCCACATACTCAATGGCCCAAAAAGACACCAGCAGGACACCCACATCGGCCAGAGGCATGTAGCGTCCAAAAAAGAAGATATCGCCTGATCTATTTGGACGGCGTCGTCCATGGACCGCATCGTCCATGGACCGCATCATCCATGGACCGCATCGTCCATGGACCGCATCATCCATGAACCGCATCGTCCATGGACCGCATCGTCCATGGACCGCATCGTCCATAGACCGCATCGTCCGAACTTCGCCCGGACAGAATGTATTTTTCTATTCTATATACTAAGTGTTGTACTCAGCCCATTAGTGGCCTTATTTGCCCAAAGAAGGCATGGTTATTGTAATGGGCCTCCTAAGCCCAAGGCTAGGGGCCCAAATCCACATTTTTACCTATAAATAGACCCCAAGGGGCTAATTATAGGGGGATTCTTTCCAATTTGAGAAATATAATTACTCACTTTCTCTCTCTAGCTCTCACTTCTCTCTAGAATTAATACTCTATCAATGAGTGTTAAGGACTTTTAGTCCTAGGGTCCTCCACCAAATTTAAAATCCTATGATCAACCTCCTATCACCCTAGATAGAGTCTATATCATATTTATTCATTCATAGCTAAATCAATACATAAAGCTTGTGTATCACAATTCATGCAAAACCATGCATTTACATAGATTTATAATTAATTAATACCAACCGGTATTAATTAATCCATTGTCATTCGGTCAACGTTTTCGTTGACCGCCATTTCATGCCTTGTGTGTATCAACTTAATCATCATATAATTAAGTTAATAATGTTCATTTGTGCTTCTCTTACACTTCAAACAATTATGCATTTTATATAATTCTTCATATCATATTCCATGCATAAACAATTAATTTCTTTCATACAAACTTAACCATGTTGGCTAATCACATGTTTAAATATCCTTTAAACATCATTATTAACACATATAACATTTATTTAGGTAATCTCATAATTAACCCAAAAGTTATAAGATATTAAGCCGTCCACTCACCTCGAATTAGCGCTATGAAATTCTACCCTTCTTGGTTGAACTCCGGCGAAACTCCGGCGACTTTTGATGAACTCCGGCGACTTTTTCAACTTTGTGAAAGTTATTGAAATACCTTTCACAAGTTCCTAACAATGTTTTATAATCATAAAACCCATATTAATACAAATAACCTCAAAAAGGTTATTTTCCGGTGAACCGGTCGTTTTGGCTTCTAAGTCCGTTCTTGGACATAGAATCACTTTCCAACCCATTAATCCATACTTATAACATGTAGAACCCTCTTAAGGATTCTTCACATGATATATATCTCATATGGTAGAAGAAAAATAAAGGAGAAGTTATAATAAGGTCATTACATTAATTATTTCACACTTTTAACACATTAGCTCCTTTTTGTGTGATTCTTCCTTGATGAACTCTCTTCAACAATGGAGGAAAGAGGCTGGGGAGGTTCTTGTTCTTGCTGGCTATGGGTTGGCCGAAAGTGAGGGAGAAAGGGGGGGGGGTGAGGATAGTGTTTTTGTCCCTTTGGTTCAATGAGTGTGAATGGGGGGTCCACCCCATTTGTTTGATGCCTTTTCCCTCATCTCACACACCTCTCCCATGTTCCCTTATCACACCAACTGGCCAAACACTTGATTTAGGTAGCTAAATTCGTGGGTTGGCCCCCACCCATGTGGGAGGTCAACCCTTTTTGTCCAGAAGTGTACAATCGGTCCGAAAGTTGTGTTTTTTCGGACTGTTTTAAATATATTTTATTTTATCGGGTCAAATAAAATATATTACGTTCTCTAACTCATTATGACATTTATAATGAATACACATTCCTCAACTTTAATTTATAAGCCTCCGAAATTCAGTTCGGGCTGTTATCTATTAAATTACCAGTAACGGTAATTTGGGCCTCTTTTGATCAATCAGTCGGACATGTCTTTTGGCGACGGTCGGACAGAACATCTTATACATAGTATAAGGGATGATTTGCACTTTTTTGGTTAATTCGAGGGCTTATTTACCTCTTTTCCCTTTTTTATATAATGCAATTCAGGTACACCCGTACATGTTTTTTTGCATGGGAATGATTACTATTTCATTGAGCTAATTACTTTTTATCAGTGTCAACTCAGTTTTTTAGACAACTCATTTAACTTTAAATTAGTGAACTTAAGTAAGTTTGTGTATAATAAAAATTACATGAAATTTGGACGAGCGAACTTTTGGAGAGCCGGCCCTAGGGGAACCCTAGATGGCCATCCCCAACCTCCTTCTAGATCTGATTTTCAACCTTTTCTTTTTCAATCAGTAAAAGTTTTGAAAGATGATGACATTCTCTATGCAGTGAAAGATCGAATCTAAGGTTTTCTCAATGCTTCCGCTCTTTTTTAATTTCTATTTTCGAGGATTTTGGTCCGGCTTCTTCATTGGCCGAGAATTTTGCCCGCTTCATGTGAGCGTGTGGTATGTTATTCTCCTAGCAATGTATAGAGAGGTTGTATGTTTCTAATCGGTGGAATCGATCTGGTGAATCTTCGTTGTTCATGGTTGGTAAAGTTTTTTCAACATTTTTGTTCCGATGATTCAAATACTCGCCCACCACCTGAAACACCGGCTCGCTCTAGGAAGAAGAAGAAGATCAATTGGATCTCCTTTTCAGTGGCTGGTCAAACCGATGCTTCAGAAAATGTTTTCTCAATTGATTTTCCTTTGTTGGTTGCTGGTCAAACCAATTCTCCCTTTCCGGTGGCTGGTGAAGCCGGATCTTTTAGTTGTAATTTTTTATTTTCTCTTTGGAGTAGCAAGAAGAGCAACAATACTGTTAGACTAACTACATTATTGCGGGGTTAGCGATATGGAAGGATTTATTGGATCTATTCCGTTCTATGTTTCATCCAATTGTAGCCTTAGGTTATTCATTCTCTTGTATCTTTGCTATCGTTTAATAACAAATTAGTTATTTGATTTTAAAAAAAATGCATGAAATCCGGTGAACGCAAATGCATGGACAAAATATTGTCGGTGAAATTCATAAGAATAATCGTTATTTTGAGGGATTCTATAATAATATCCCTATCGAGAGTATTCATAAAAAAATAATCCGAACCACCAATAAGTTTTACAAGAATAAATTGGATTGAATTAAAACTAGGAAAAATTGAAATTAATAATCCCAACTATTGCTGGTCCGCTAATAATAATCCCAACTATTGATTATTTTTGTATAATCCCAACTATATGTGCCGTCCGCCAATACTGGTCCATGACCGGATATTACCTGCTATAATAGGTGAATTTTAATAGAAATTAAGCGTAAAAATTAAAAGTTAGGATGATTTATAGGGATTACATGATATATATATTCTCATCCACTTTAGAAACTATAAGAATTTATTTATAGCCGATCATGTCGGACCATTATTGGCGGAAGGTCCCTAAAGTTGGGATTATTCTGAAATAGTCGATAGTTGGGATTATTATGACCAGACCGCGAATAGTTGAGATTATTAGTATCAATTTTTCCTTAAAACTAATGCTTGTTTAAGATGTTCTTACTTGGATGGATTTCAATCTCATACCAAACCTGAACAGACCAGATCACATCGAACTTAAACAAGATAGATCAGATTATATAATTATGTCTTCAATTTTGTGTGCTTTTTTTATGTTTTCATTTGTTCAGTGGCTTTCCCCACTATTTTTTGTATATGTGGTATGTTTGACACAACTAACTGAAAAGATACTTTTATGAGCTTTTTGGTTGCTGTTCTAGCAGGGAGAGTTTGGAAACTTTTAGTTCAGTTTCCCACAGACGGCGCCAGTGTTGAAGTTAATTCCTTCAACCCTCAGGCCCAACACGTAAGCCCAAAAGGTCTCGAGTGGAAGAGGTGTATGAGTGTATGAATATCTAGCCCAACAACTATCAGATGGATCAGGAAACAGAGGAAATAGCAGGCAATGTAAATAGGTATTATTAACTTCGTAATAACTCCCCTAAGTACAATCTACTTGCTAAAAAAGGCACGTCGTCCGTTCATCTTACTAGGCAGTAATCTGAGCTGCGAGTAAGAGAAATAAGCTAGAATGCTAAGGCTAATTAGTTGTCAACCCTTTACAATGAAATAAATGCTTCTATTTATACCCACCAATGGGCAGGTGGCTACACTGACGTGGAAGCCTGTGGTCCGCTGGTACCCCAACCACCAAATCTTCAGCATTGAATGCACTTCCCGCCAGAATCTAGGTTTCCCGCCTAATTAGTGGGGACGTCCGTCCGTCCGGGGAGCGAGCTTGAATGGCCCCAGGTGGCTTCCAAGGGGCATTGACCATTCGTCCCCTGGCCTTTGTGGATTCTCGCCATGCGGGCGAGACCGTCTCAGATGGCTATGGGCTTGCTCTGACGACGTTCGTCGTCATTCTGGTGACCCGTGGGCCTGCTCCTTGTCCCTGCATAGACGTTCGTCGAGATGGGCTGCTGAGCCTAACCCCTTACTGAAGACGTTCGTCCCTCCTGGAGGAACCCGGGCTTGCTAGGCTAGTTCAGTGATCTGACTGGACGTACGTCTGGTGAAAGAGGGGTGAATGGGTCGGACCCTGACTTGGGCCATTAACCCAACAAGTAGTTTGATAAAAAGCTGACTGTTTGATTTAGTTATGTTTGATATTCAAGCTGTTGGGACTAATTAATGATAAAAACTACAAACTTTTCTCAGATGCTACTCACTGTAGCATCTCAAAAAAGATCTTTTATATGTTAAAAAGCTCTTAAATATTGACATGCCAAACATGCTACTAGAAGCTTTTAAAGACTTTTTAAGCAGTACAAAAACTAGAAGGCAGAGACTTATGTCAACCAAACATGCATGCAGTCCTTTTATAAAGAAATCGGGCTATGTAAGAGTAATTAATTTCCTAGAAAGTATTGTTAATTATAATATCAACTAGCGTTTACTCGCGCAAGGCGCGAAAATATTCATCCAATATTAAAGTAATGTTTTTTTTTGTGGAGAACTTTTACATGTGTAATTGTTATGAGATCTTCCCTCAAATTATGTGTCCTTGGTATAGCCAAATTCCTCAAATTTTTTCAAATAGGAAATGGTTTATTAATAAAAGAGAAGTTAAAGTACAATCGCATAAGTAAATTCAGCCACATGGGACTGAACCATGACAATAATGAGAAACAAGAGCTAATCAAGTCAATAACTAATGAAAAGAAAAGTAGTGCAAAAGAAAATGAGATTTAGAGTTGGTTGAGACTATATTCCGGTTCCATAGAAAATCCCCGAGCTTTAGAAATCCTCGAGCATTGGAAGAACAACACCACATCGCTTTTATAAGATCCTTGATAAACTCCCAAAAGCACCCTAAGCCCATTTAAATTGTTGCCGAGATTGCACCATCCTATCTTAGGGACATTGCATTTTTTGTCCCTTCTAGAGACAACAGAGGCGAAATCATCATCTTCCTCGAGTTGAGGTTCAATAAGTGTATCCTTGTAAATTGGAGATTCCTTGTAGGTGGGGTAATCTTTAAGTAGCTCTTAGTTTAGGATTTGATGAGGGCCTGAGTCACGCATAAGATGTTAACTTTTTTTACGTGTGACGCCGGTTGTACCTGGAGCCACTCCCTCTAGAATCGAGTAAAGGAGCCAAATTCCTCAAAGTAAGAGCCCATTTGGTGACACTATTTTTCGGGTTATCAACCTTCTCATTCCACTTTTTTCATAAAACACGTGATTTTTTACTTCGTGCGCTAAATTAGCTAATAATCAAAATAAGTAAGGCTTGAATTGTTATTTTTTTGGCCGAATTAGCTGAAGTTGCTGTAGATTGTCATTTCTATTTTTTTCATATAATTTTTTCCTTTATCTTAGTAATAAAATCTATTTTAAATAAAACTTTTTCATAAATAAGAAGAATCAACCACTTCAGCCAGAAGTTCGTAGATTTTAGAAAAAAATGGTCGATTCGATCAATTTCATTATTACCAAACAGATTTTAGGTTTCAAATGCAACCTGCCATTAAAGTAAAGAAAAAATTGTTTTTTGCTTGATTTGATGACAATTGAAGGAATTAGTGAATTTATAAGCAAATAAAACATAAAACTTTTAGGCTTTTTACTATTGTGCTATTGCCGTTTTTCAATAACTCAGATTTGGAATGCCGACTAAAATGTTAGTTGAAGTTCTTCCATTTAATTGAATCACTTAACAGAAGGACGAAGTTTTAACGGTGTGTAAGGATATAAAAGTACATGTAATAAGTGAGATCCCACTTTTTAATAACAATGTACAATTCATTGTGCATAGCATATGTTGACATAAATAAGTGGTATCAACCCTCATTCACAAATATAAGATTTTTATCTTAGATAGATTTTAGAAGATTAGATACTGACATATTAATGCATAATGTTGTCAAAATATGTTACTGTTATTAAGGACAACAAATTTTCCCAAATAAAAGTAAAAATGATGTGAAATTGCACAAGCGGAATACAATTACTTGTCTAGAGAGGTGTAATTTACTTTCACTATGAAGTTTTAATATTCTCCGTATTTCAAAGATCACTACGTTGGTTATGACACAAGATTTAAGGTAGAATAGCAAGAGTAATGAATATTGTAGAAGTAGGAGAGAAGGTGAAAAAATAGGAAAGAGAGGATAAGAAGTAGAAAACGTAAGGGTAATTAAGTATTTTTAAAGGAAAAACTTATCAAAAAGGGAAAGTGTAAGGAACTTTTAAATACATCAAGAAAAGTGTAGGGAACTTTTAAATAGGGAGAGAGTATCTCATATTTGGACATTATCAAGCATTAATATGACAACATTATTGCAATGATTAGCAACACTTTCCAAGTATGACATTTATTACTTACACTGAAAATGTATAAGAGCATCTTCAATGCTAAAACGTTAACGGTGCATACTTGACATGAGAAATAACCAATTAAAAAACAATAATAAAATATCGCTCTCCTTATTTGAAGGATCTTACATCATTTTGGTAAATTTTTCTTCACAATGTCAAGCACAATGTCTAGATGTAGACATTATGGTTGACATTGCACACAAAAACTTATCAAAAACACATAAGACCGTGGAAAGAAAGAGAGATAAATGTCATAAAATCAATATTTTGTGTCTATATCTCTCATGCCGCATGTGCACCGTGCACATTGTAGCATTGGAGATGCTCTAATGATCATTTTCCTTTTGAACTTTCACAGTTTTTTTGTCTCGATTTAGCGCAATGTGTTATTTCGGGATATTATTAACTTACTTAGGCTAGTTTGATAGGTTGTACATTTAAATTGTTTATCTGCAAAGTTTAGGGAGACATTGTAAAATAAATTGTCATGCATTATAAAAAAAACATGTATTACCTCCGTTCTTTTTTATTAGTCCTCTTAGGATTTGGCAGGAGTTTTAATAATAAAATAGTAGGCTAAGTATAGAGTGTGTAGGGTAAATGATAAAGTATGAAAGATAGTATATAAATAAGAGTAAAGTGATGATAAAGTAGGAAAAAGAGTGTATTAAGAAGAGTAAAGTGATGGTAAAGTAGGAAAGAGAAAGTAGTTTGTAAAAAGTAAGTGGGGTAAAAGTAATAAAAGTGGGGGTATTTTCTCAAAACTTTCCTTAAAGGGAAAAAAGGACAAATAAAAAAACGTCCTAAAAAGAAAGAAGGACTAGTAAAAAAGAACGGAGGGAGTATAATATTTTATCAACCTCATTTACTTGAGAACGGTTTTAAAAAGTGTTATACATTTATATTCAATAAGGGCATCCTCATTGTTTAGATATTTGGAGAGCAATTGGATGATGTGGATGATTTCTTTGAGATTATGGATGAGAAAATGAGATTATTTGGAAAGATTATTTTCTCAAAAAATCTGATATCAAATATTGAATTATTTAGGGATTTTTGTCTTAGGTTTTTGTTCAATCGTGTGAATCAGTGAAAAGGCATTAAATATGAAGTATAAAACATTGGAAAAGTTGACGTCAACTTGTTTTAATTTTTTTATTGATTAATTCTGCAATATAGTGATGGTGTGTTTTATAATATAATAAAATAATACATAATAATATAATAACTTATAAACAGCAATGATGATTAGGACATTTTAGAAATGATAAAAATGTTGGTGTAACACTATAGCAAAATGCACTTGTACAATTTGTTTTATTCATTCTAGCACATTCATCATTAAATCTTTTTACGAGAATATAATACTAAAATAAAACTTATTTACATAAATATGACTATTCATTACTACAACCTAGTACTGTGGTAACTAAAGTTCAAAACTTGAATATGAATTACTATGATTTAATTACTACTCTAGTAATGAATCATATTTTTGTAAACCATCTTTATTTTGATCATATTAAAACATTCCATTTTATGCGAATTGTTATACATATCCTTCGACCTAAAGTTACCGATACCCAACAATATTTCCACACGGATTGCGAAAGCGATTAGTTCAAAATTACCCCTTGAATATTAACCTCTTGTGGCCACAAAGATTTGGCTATATCTATTTGTTAGAGATTGTTTTACTCATCTTATTCTTATTGCTTATTGCTTATTCAGATCAGATCAGAAAGTTCAAACCACATCGGATCAAAACGATAGAAATCATTATTATTAATACATATTTAGGGTTATTGGGATCAAACATCAAAATTGCACACATGTTATACACACTATAAACACATCCAGCCCACTCTTTTTAATATAATATCACAATATTGATATTATATTGTTATAGGATGTTTAGGAACGATCCTTACCTCGCCTACGAGCATACTTACATTTCATTTTAAAACGTTGTAACATTTGGTGTTCATACTGTGAATATTTTGGATGCCAAAGAATAACAAAAATATCCAATATTTTTAATTAGTGTTATAGTTTTACAATAAGAAATAAAAAGAGATTACTAAGGAGAGAGGAGCGGTGAAGGGAAACCCTAGCCGCCGCCTCCTCTTCCTTCCTTCTTCTTTTCTCTTCTTTTGACTTCAATCATGGAAAAAGTTTCGTTTAATCAATATTTTCAGTTCTATCTATACGTTTATTTCCTAGCGTCGTCTAGAGATATTATTTTCGGTGGCGAAGTGTCGCTCGCCAGATTTATATTCCCCGCCATCATCGATCGGGTGTTCTTGTGTGCTAGTAAGAGGTTTGTATTTGCTTCTTTATCAATCATGAATCATGATTTCTTCTGCATTGATATAGAGGTCGATCGCCCCCCTCTTGAGCCACCGCCGATCCAGGAAGATGACATTGGATGGATTGCTTTCTTTCCGGTGGCTGATCAAACCGGAACAATTTCTGCACTTGGCTCCTTACCAGTGGCTGGAAAAATCGGCAAGTTCAATAAGAGCCCGTTTGGAGACCCCTTTTTTCGGCTTATCAGGCTTATCAGCCAGCTTTTTCACCAAACACGTAATTTTTACTTTCGCGTGCTGAATTGTGTAATAAGCAGAAAAAGTAAGGTTGGAGTTACTTTTCTGGCTGTATTGGCTGAAGTTACTGTAGATGACCATTTTAGCTATTTTTACATGTAATTTTTTCTTTATTTTATTAATAAAATATATTTTTAGAATATTTTTTTCTAGAATCAGCAGAATCAGCCAAAACAGCCACTTCAGCCAGAACTTCATAAATTTCAGCAGAAACAGCCAAAACAGCCGATTTTTGTGCTACCAAACGGGCTCTAATTCCTTTTCGGTGGTTGGTTAAGCCGAACCCATTTCGAGTAGCATGAGCAGACACACTGCGGTACGAGTCTACATTGTTGCAGGGTTAGCGAACATGAGTGCTTTTATATGACGTTTTTGTTCTTTGTCTCACCCTAGTGTAGTTTTGAACGTCATGATTGTAGTGCTTCAACTTTTAGTTGTTATGTTTCTTGTTAAAATCTGATTATCAATAAAATTGTTATTTGATTTTCAAAAAAAATATCCAATGTTTCATTTAACTGGCCAATAAAAAAGATAGTTAAGATACCATTCCTAAAACTTTTTACAAATTCCGGTGTGACAATAACTTGTTCATAAAAGATACCATAACTTGAGCTTTTACAAATTCCCGCTGTGAGAGAGAGGCAGAGAGGTGCAAATGGAATCTGACGACGAATTGGTAGTAGGGGCTCAGGATGCTAGCGACGACGGCGACTCATACGACGACGATTTCTACGGCGGAGGATTTGGCGGTGCTCAAGACTCCGACGACGACGTCATCATGGATTACGATTTCATTGATAACGACTCTGACGATTCGGACGGCCTTGTCTCCCATTATCGCTCTCAGGTTTGGCTTCGTTTATCGTCATTGCGATCACTTGATTTTCCTTGTGGAAATAAAATGAATTAAATCAATATGTTTGTGTGGCATTTCTCATAGTTTGTGCAATTTGTAAATTCCGATCTAAAAGCAACATGTTGACCTCAACTAGGGGTAATGAAAGCATCAATTTTTTATCTTTCTCTGTAATCAACTAATCATAGTCATTTCATTGAACAAGAGTTACATGAGCATTGATTATCCGGTCTCTTAAGCTTTCATTCAAGTCTGTGGTGATCTATTGAACCAGATCCTGAGCTGTTTATCAGTATTTTAGGATACATATTGTCCTTCTGTCGTAGGAGAACCAAAATGCATAATCTTAAAAACCTATTCTAATGTACAGTGTTGCAGTTTACGTAATGTATACTATTAAGGGTATATACCTGAAAATAGACATGGTTCTCAGCTCGCAATACTAACAAAATATTGTCTAATCCTACATATGATGGAGCCTTACGAGAAAATAGAGAATATGCTTGTAAAGTTGTGATGAAGAAGTCACTTTTCATTGTATTCTATGTTTGTTCTTAGAGTGGAGTGGAGGGTGATACTATGCGGTTATATTTCTAGTTTTCATTCCCAAACGCCATTCCTATCTGTTTTATATCTAAAACTCCAATGTATGCTTCCTGTGAAGTATTATATGTTAATTTTTCTGGTACTTCTTCTTTTGTGCCTAATAATCATATATGTAGCTAATCGTTCAAGTATTGAACCCATCTCACCCCTCACCACAAAACTCCCCTCTAGACCAACTACACCATTTTGAATGAAGCCGATATACACCAACGTCAAGAGGAAAGTATTACGAAAATAGCTACTGTTCTTTCCATATCGAAGGTCGCAGCTGGCATCTTGCTACGCCATTATAACTGGTAATTCTTTATACATTATTTATATATAAATAGGTAAATACTTAAACATACATGCTCTGAATAACATGATGATGATCATCATCGTCATTATCATAATGCCGCAAAGGCTCCCACCTATGGTGGGGTAGAAGGGTCAGATGTACGCGGCCTTACCTCTGTACTAAGGAACATAGAGGCTGTTTCCGGATGACCCAGAGTAAAAATCGCGCCGGAAATTGCATAGATTGACAGTTGCTTCACAACAAAGAAGCGGAGACAATTTAGTGATTCATCATATTCACAACAAAGAATTTGGGGTCGGCTAACATAAATTGATCCATCATATTCCCAAGCCAAAAAATAGTAAGTCTTTGGCTCCACTGCAAATGATGGAAATGTTCTGAATAACATAATATGGAAATTAAAGTTCTAAAACTTTGAAAATAGACATACTTAATATTAATGCACATCTTAGTATTCAACTTTAATTTTTTTTAGTAATGTTTGTGACTCACAGGAGTGTCAGCAAAGTCAATGATGAATGGTTTGCAGATGAAGTAAAGGTTCGCAGGACTGTTGGGTTGTTAGAGAATCCCACTCAACTTCCTAGTGAAAAAGAGGTAGTTTATTAATCAGCCATGGAAACTAAGATCTTTGTTTAAATTGTACGGAGTGATAGGATTTACTATTTTTTGTATTGTGGTGGAAATACTCCTGTTTGTTATATATTGTCACGTTGAGCTGATATTTTTATCGGGGTCCTTTTTACAGATAACTTGTGGGATCTGTTTTGAAACGTGTCCCCGTGCTGAAATTAGTTCTGTTGCTTGCGGTCATCCTTTCTGTTTCACGTGTTGGCAAGGTCCTTTTCATGATTCATTCATATGGTTGCTACTCATCTTATTGTCCTTTTGAGCCCGGTTTTCTTAAAAATGCTAACCTTTTTGCATTTAATTTGCTATGTTTTGCTTACTTTCGTTTATCTTCTCTACAATCTCTTGTATCTGTCATGGTGTGATGTTGCACATTTTCAATCCAATTGGTTTTTGTGATACTAATTGCCAATGGTTATTGAATTTAAATATCTCTGGTGAACAGTGTTATCACTTCTTCACTTGCTGTAGATTCCAGATGCAGGAATTATGTACCCTTTATTTCTCAAAATTTCAAGAAAACCCATCTCTGTGTGTGAAATAAAAAATCTTTCTAGGGTTTATACTTCCGTCAGAGTCCCAAAACGTGTATTTTCCATGTACTCAGGGTATATAAGCACATCCATAAATGATGGTCCTGGGTGTTTGATGTTGCGATGCCCTGATCCATCTTGTAGTGCTGCAGTGGGTCAAGATATGGTAAATGCATTTGCCACTCAAGAGGATAAAGAGAAATACAACCGTTACTTTATTAGGTCTTTTATTGAGGACAACAGAAAGGTAATTGTCAAATGATGCTTTTGCTCTTTTTTCCTTTCCGGTCCAATATGAAACAAGATTGAAGCTTCATGCTGAGACATTCACATGATTTTCTGTTTCTAACTTAAAAATTTGGTTAATTGATCACATGTAGACAAAGTGGTGCCCTGCTCCTGGCTGTGACTATGCTGTTGATTTTATCGTCGGAAGTGGAAGTTATGATGTCATTTGCTGCTGCTCATACAGTTTCTGTTGGAATGTATGTGCCTGTAATATATTTTATGTTCTTGATGTATACAGTTTTGTGCTTGCTATCTGTTCAAGATCGAACTATACTCTATATCTGTCTGCAGTGTTGTGAAGAGGCTCATCGGCCAGTTGATTGTGGAACTGTGGCCAAGTGGATCATGAAGAACAGTGCTGAATCTGAGAATATGAATTGGTATCATCAGATCATCCCAAATCATATACTTTTGTTTTTTAAAATTATTTTAGATGGTATTGGGAATTAGTTGTTGAAGGATGTCTTATAAAATGGGAAAGATCTGCTACACCTTTGTCAATGTAGTGATCTACTCTGCTTTTTACTATCTTTGGTATAGATACACCACTAATATCCTGTCATCATCATCATCATCATCATCATTACCCCAATGCCCAAAGGCTCCCACCTTCGGTGGGGTAGGGGGGGTCAGATGTACGCTGTCTTACCCCTGTACTAAAGCACAGGGAGACTGTTTATGGATGACCCATAGGAATTGCATCTGTGTTTTGTTAGGAATTGCATTTCTTGTGAAACATTATATAAAACTGATTACATGTGCTGGTTTGACTCCCTACTGAAAATAATGTTTCGAATTACTATCGTAATTGATTATAGCTCTCTTCTTTTGCATGCTATCTCTGGCTCTCCTAGCATTTTTAGTGTTATTTTGACATTTCGATCCAATATTTTTTGGGGTTGTCTATTACAAAGAGCATTTTCAAGACCAAATAATAATGGCAACAAGGTTTAAAGGTTACTAGGTTAGAGAAGTAGCAAATGTTTCCCAAAGAAATTATGCTAGGGAAAACAAGAAGTCTGCCATATTAATCATGTAACCATGTTATTCATGTAGCATTTTTTCAATTTCTGGCATCTTCAGTTTTTAAGCTCAAGTAGGGTTATTTAACTGTAAATAGTCATGTTATAGTTAGTGCTTATTAGATACACCGACTCTCTTTGCAATTTGAGTTTGTACTTTATTATGGCCCCTGCGTTTTAGCTTCAGTACATCCAACTTGCCTTGAATAAAATTAAATAGCAGAATAACAGTTCAGGAAAACCATATTTTATGTTTTACTTTTTTATTCTGCTAAGCATTAAATTACAAACTGAAAATGGTTGCTTATTATGAAACCTGTGTGCTTTATTTCTCACTTGTATTGAAACATTTTCTTTGCTTTGTAATTTAGGATTTTAGCCAATTCCAAGCCTTGCCCAAAGTGCAAGAGACCAATAGAGAAAAATCAGGGCTGCATGCATATCACATGCACCCCTCCCTGTAAATTTGAATTCTGCTGGTAAGTCAATTTATTATGGCATTGTGAAGATCACATCCTGCTGTTTTTAACACATTATTACTCTTCTGATAGGTTCTCATAATAATGAACTTTATATACTCTTTCAAGCTCATAATTGCATAAATATATATATGCTTGCCTAGTTGCCTGCTAGTTATATATGCTCAGAATAACACGCAGTAAGAATTTTTTTCCATTTAAATTTTCAGGAACCCTCCTCTTCCCTTGTGACTTACTTAAGAATATGATTTGTACATATTTGAACAATATTCTCATGCAGGCTATGCCTTGGTTCATGGTCAGAACACGGTGAGAAAACAGGTGGCTTCTATGCATGCAACCGTTATGAAGCAGCAAAGCAAGAGGGCGTGGTAATCTTCTATACCTTATACAATCTGTTCATTAATATACATTAACTATTTAATTATTGCTGTAAAAATAGTGGTACCTTGCTGCAGTATGATGATGCTGAAAAACGAAGAGAGATGGCTAAAAATTCTTTAGAAAGATATACACATTACTATGAAAGATGGGCAACCAACCAATCGGTAGGTATAGGTGCTGGAAATCTTTGTTCTCTTTCTCTCAGGAGTGTGTTTATTATGCTCTTGTTTATTATGGGATACTTAAGTTGGAGATGGAATTTTAATGCTCTTTTCATATTTGAAATTCCAAATTTCCTAAATGTGAAATTGATAATTTGCTACATTTCTATTCACAAATCCAATACAACACGTGAACAATACGCAAGCGATGATATCTAAACAACTGAGTTTTTTCCTTTCCTTTTGCAGTCTAGACTAAAAGCTCTTGCAGATCTTCAACAAATGCAAACTGTTCATGTATGAAGGCTCCTTGCTTTGTGCTGGTGCATTTATATATACTGTTGTGAATTGCAATGCTTCATTCTTACTTTAGCATTTCTAAGTTGCCAAAATGTACAAGTTATTTTGAACATACTGTCACGGGGCTACAGTCCGTTGCAGAAAATTTGCGTGAGAGTATGCTGGTCTTCCTCTTTCCGATAATATATGAATAGACTCTTATTCCAAGCCAAAGGAATCAATTGTTAGTTTGTTAGTGTTAAATATAGTTCGTCTTAATTTTTTACACTTAGGGCCCTTTAATAAGTATGTTCAAGGTCTTTGTAGGGATATATGAATGCTTGTGTTATTTTTACATGGCTATTTCAATCCCAGAAGTACATAATTTTCAAACATATAGTATAGATGGTTCAAAGAGTTAAAAGGGGGAAGAGTGGGGTAAAGTACTTTAGTTTCATTTGGATGTTCATAGTACTTGAGAAATTTAACATTTTTTGGCAATGTGTGCAGCTTGAGAAGTTGAGTGAGGTACAATGTCAGCCTGAATCACAGTTGAAGTTCATAATAGATGCCTGGTTGCAGGTATGTTGTAAATATGAAGTACATGAATTCCTTTCAGTTCCACCCTTTGTTATATTGGTATTCCACATGAAGCACCTGATTTGTAAATTTGGCCACTACTAAATTTTGAGAAAATTAGTCCTTTGGTTACTGTAACCCTAATGGAGAACCAAACCCCCCCACAAGGAGAATTCTAATGTAGAGGTTTAACAAAACAGAATTACTCCCTGTCTCCCTCGTCCTGCAAAAAAGAGTCATGTTCCAAGTCTTTTTGTCCTAAATATAGTCGGGCTCAGGCGTTAGAGGTCAATTTAATTTTCAAGTAAATTCTTGTAAAGTTAACTGCTTCAAACAATCTTGGGAATAAAATTTAGGGGTACAAGGGAGCACTCATAACTTGAATTAATAAAAAAACGTAATAAATTGTACCATGATCAAACATTACTTTTTTTTGGTTGGGGAGTAGGGTATAAAGATTGTTATTATTACTTTGCTCCGAAATTTTTGTGTTGGTGTTGATGGCTTCACATGTAATTTGCAGATAGTTGAATGTAGACGGGTGCTAAAATGGACATATGCATATGGATTTTACCTTCCTGAGCATGAACGTGCCAAGAGACAATTCTTTGAATATCTGCAAGGTCCTCTATTTCCTAGTGTTAGGATACACTTGTGAAATTCATCTTTTTTTCTATTGGTTTATTTTACTGAGGCATACTTTCTCATATAGGTGAAGCGGAGTCTGGCTTAGAACGGCTTCATCAATGTGCAGAGAAGGAACTTCAGGTGTACCTTAATGCAGATGGTCCATCAAAAGATTTCAATGAATTTCGCACAAAGCTAGCAGGGTTGACAAGGTAATTTCCAAATTAAGAGTTTCCTCGTCACCGATTTTGGGGAAATTAATTGCATACGGAGTATTTGGTCCTCCTGTACATTTAGGTGGTACCCAGTATGATCGCGTAGCAAATATCATTCTCATATTTGGCCCTCCTGTACATTGTTTCCCCCCAAATTGAGCACTTTTGACCCAAAACTGGATTTCATCGTGTGTGGATCACCTGGTCCCTTATTTGTTCATTTCCAAACTAATTGATTGTGCTTGGGTATTGCTCTCAATTGTTGAATAAATAATTGAAAGCATTAAAATGACTTATATCTGAGATTTAGTGTCCACAAAAGCACATTTTTGCTTAAACCCCGAAATTGGGAAACTCGTGAGGATATCTTAGTGACCTTTTGATTTTTTCAGAGCAAAATGATTCTAACTGGGTAAAAATTTTAGTTACATGATCACATATGAGAATGTCCTACACAGACCTAGCTATGGGACTTGTGCAATGGTTTTGTTTGATAGATGAAGAAACTCACACGTACTATGCTTTATCTAATGTTGTGATGACCCAGCGTGACCCGGAATTACTTTGAGAACCTTGTCCGAGCATTGGAGAATGGTCTGTCCGATGTGGACCCTCCTCGGGTAGGCGGTTGCAGCAGGGTGGCAGGAGTAGGCTCAAAAAGCATCGTTGGATGTTTAAGCAGCAGTAAAGGAAGAGGAAGTAGCAAGGGAAAGGGGACCACCACGACATCTAGATCAAGCAGTTCCAAAACCATTGATGATTCGGGACACTGGTCTTGTCAATATTGTACCTACGCTAACATTAGATCTGCTCATGTTTGCCAGATGTGTCAGCAACGCCCTTGAAACTTCATAAACAAAATGAAGAGGGATATCTCTTCTCTTGTTAACCCTTTCCCCTATCCCAACAGACGAGGGGGGTGGTGTACATAAGCGTATGTTGTACTACGTGTTTCTCAGACTTGGCTAGAAAATCTCATGTTTTATTGTATTGTATTTCTGTTGCTGTCCATGTTAGGGACGCCAGAAAACATATCTGCTTGTATTGCTTGCTCAAAGCTCTATGTTGTATTGTATGTTAATCTATATACTACTCTTATAGGAGAGGATGGATAATTTAAACGGCATCCTAAAGAATAAAAGTTTTACATCATGGCTTTCAGTGTATCAATTTCATTTAAGCTGACTATATGAGTCAGGATATCTTGCACATCCACTACTCCACTAGGTTCTGGTTCTAAATTCTAATTGTTACCTCTTGTGTGGATTCAGTTCTGTATTTCTGTTCCTCATTTTTTAGCCTTTAAAATGTTCTCGAATTAACAGGCATTTGTATGGTTATTTACCCTTCTGGTCCAGTCCTAGTTCCGGAACAAGTCTATCCCTAGTAGAGAGCAATCCCAGCTGAACTATTATGAAGTATTTCCCGAATTTCGATCATGAGCTCAATCCATGAAAACAATAATTTAGACAAGGAAAATGAATCACCAAAATTGCAGCAAAAAAGCAGTAGAAAACCTGTACTTAACAGTTCACAATGTATCACTTTGTCAAAAAAATAATAATGTATCACCAAATCACGTGGTGTTAACTAGGGATGGAGCCAGTCCGGTCTGACCGGCCCGGGTGACCGGTACCGGGCTTAATTAGGCCCGACCCGATCGCTATTCCGGGGGCGGGTCTGGGACTTGAAAAATGTGGACTGGCCCGGCCGGTCTGGGAACCTTTTTTTTTGTTTTTTTTGGGTTTGGGTTGGGTTTAGGTGGGCTGGGCTGGGTGTTTTCGAGGGGTTTGGGGGTGGGGAGGGGGAATGAGGGGGTGAGGGTTGGAATAAATAAGAAAACCCAAAAAAAAATTAAACTGAATCGGCCCGGCCTGGAACCAGTAGACTCCCGGGCCTTACCCCAAAAAATCAAAGCCCGGCCAGACCCAGGCCCGAACTGGAACCGGGCCCGGTCCTCCACTAGTGTAAACTGTAAACGATGGGGTTCACGGCCTAAACTATCAATGCTTCTAGGCTTTGAAGAAAAGAACAAAAAAAGATAAAATCAGATTTAAGAATATGGGCGAGTTTGGCATTCAATGGTTAGCGGTTAGCGGGTTATGTTAGCGGGTTGTCAATAGCGGATTCGGATAGCGGGTTTGACCAATGGAATAAATTGGCAGGTTGTCAGAAGATGTTTGGTAATTTAGCTGTTTGACCATAAAATTAGTAGAAAACGTCATTTTCAAAACGCCATTCCAAAACTCTCGTATTAGCAGTGTTTTCAATTCAGCGTTTCCGTCCAAAAACGCTAGAGCCGAACCGCTGATTACCAAACAACTTTTTCACTTTTCGAAAACGCTAAAAGTGGTTAAACCGTCATTTTTCGGCTGAAACGCCACTTACCAAACACCTCTTATATTCATTGCGTTTGGTAGAGTTCAAAGTTTAATAAAGACTATAATGAGACTTCCAACTTCCAAGTTCCAACTAGTTTTATTTATTACTAGTAAAATTTATTATACGGAGTATGTATAGTATTATATAAGCAGGATCGATTTTAATTTTGAGTTATTAAGTACTCCATATATCTGAATTTGTTGAATCGCGCAACAAAAAAAATAGTGTAATAGCAGTTGTGCTTATCTAACTTTCTTATTATTGGAATGAGAATGTCATTTTGAAACATCCAAATAGAGAAGTGAAAAATCTTTTTTCGTGATGGAATGAATACCATTATATATTGATTTTTCAAAAATATTATTGAAATAAATTTATTTACAAAAAATGACTTTATGTTACTATAGTATAGTGTCATGGTTAATTAGTTAAGTGTAGATCTTGAACATAAATTACTACTATAATCACTTCACATTTAAGGTTTCACATTTTTGTACACCCCTTATTTTAGTCATAAATATGTAATTATTTCTTCTATTATGTATTAGAGATAATTTGTTTGAGACTTTCATAAATATAATGCTTACTAAAGTTGAAAAATCTAAGGGGTAATTGAGTTCGTAGTAAACAAATTATATTTTTTTTGTGTTAGATCTATTTTTTAAATTTGTGATCATTTTCAATTTACTTTAATCCATTTTTTACTACTCCGTATATACTACTACGTACGTATCATTATATCAACCCTTCACTGTATAAGAAATAAACATGCCTCAAACGGCTCAAAGATTTCATGTTTTGCTTTTCAATCCATGCATGCACAGTATCTTCCTAATAAAATACTACAAGTAAATTAGTACGTAGTACTCCCTCCGTCCCCTTTTAAATGGGACGGGAGATGGTGGCACGGGTTTTAAGAAAAGTGAATTTGTGTGGTTGATATTAATTGATAAAGTAAGAATAAAGTAAGAATGATTTTGAGCCACACAAAGTTTACCAAATAAGGTATGAGACAATTAAATAGGGACATCCCAATATGGTAAAACGAGACATTTAAAAGGGGACGGAGGGAGTAATAGTTTAATACGGAGTATGTGAGAAACCTGTAGAATTCAGAAAAATTGAACAGTCCATAAAATCAGATCGAATCCGTAAATAAATAAAAAAAAACTGAAAATAGAAAAAATATGATATTTTACTGGAAGACTAAAGATGATGAGTGCATTTATGACTAGGTAGCTAGAATTATTTTAAATTATATTCTTCTTGAAAACCGAAAAAAAAAACAGGATTATTACAGGAAGTATATCATCAAAGTTCTTTTGCAGTAGCTTCTGCTTTAAAAAAGTGCTTTTTTAATAAAATGGAGAGAAGTGATTAAATAAAAGTTGATAGTGTTTGAGAAAAAAATAATTTTGAAAAGTAAAAGTTGGTAGCGTTTGGTAAAATAAGTGTTTTTGCGTAATAGAAAAAGTAAAAACAATTTTGACACGAAAGTCGAGAAAAATAAAAGTTAGTAGTGTTTGATAAAATAAGTGTTTTTTAAGCCAAAAGTTGAGAAGTACGGAGTACTTTTTTTAAAGCATTTGCAAACCAACTCTTAGAACTTGAAAAATGTAATTCTTTTAAGAAGGGTTTTTTGAAAATAAAAGAACTTTCTTTCTTGAAAACATGCATGCTAATTAAGTAACAATATAATCATGCATGGCAAATATTATAACTACCACCACCCACTATGGAGGTGATTTTGAGGAAAGTTTATGCATGTATTCCTACATGACGACTATATTATTGTGCATGTATGGAGTCATATCTAATATTCGTATATGTTCTTACTATAATCTTTCTTTTTTTATTTGATTTGTTACACAGATCAAGATTAGTATAGAGTTTAATTTCTATTGTTAAACTACTACATGTAAGCATTTATATATTGTACAAATTATTAGATTTTTATGGAATAATAAAAGGAGTATTAGTTAATTAAACAGTATCTTCCCTGGTCTAAATACTCTATAAATTTCATTTCCATACATGTTATTTCTGTAATGGTCCCTCCCTACCCAAAAAAGTGGAGGTTTATTTAATATTTAGGGAAGGAGAATGTCTTGTATGCTATGAATATGTTTTTCTAAACTTATAAAAGTGGTCAACCATTTATTGACTGCTAAAGATCTAGCTACCACTGGACCTAAAAGTGTTCTTAACTATTTACACAAAATGATAGGGAAATGACAAAAAGATTGACTTCCTCCCAAGGATCCATCTGCTTTGACCAAACAAAAAGAAATAAATAAAATTTAAACAAATTAATTAAATGAGAGGGTTGTACACAGTGTATGGGTAGGGGAAGTGGGGCAGGATATAGTAAAGGAAGGTGTACGAAAGGGGAGTATGTACGTATAAGGATGAGAGGGACAGAAGGCATGGAATAATGATGAAGAGATGACATGTCTTAGGAGATGTTCTTTTTGATGTGTTGTTTTCTGAGCCCCTTTTGTCTTCCCGTATCATCTGTCATGCATCACTACATCTTTCTCTCTCTATATTTATATCTTTGTATATGTATTTACGTAGTACTCCCTCCGTCCCTTAAAACTTTGCCAACTTTCCTTTTTTGGATGTCCCACTAACTTTGCCACTTTCTCTTTTAAGTAAAGAATTTGTGGTTCCTGTTAATTCTCTCTCTTCTCCACAATCCTCAACCACACAGTTTTTACTTTATTAATCCTCGTGCCGGTCAAACTTGGCAAAGTTTTAAAGGACGGAGGTAGTATAAATTTAATTATGCCCAGCTATTTTCTCTATCAACAACCTCGAATTGGATTTAACTAAGGGTACATTTGTCATGATGTAAAGTAAACATTTTGCATGTAAAATAAAGAGATGTAAATATATTATACCGTTTGTTATAATCATTTAATGTAAACTATAAGATACTTTTTTTAAAACATTTTACACTATACCACGAATAAATATACCACGTATCTCTTTCAGTCTAGACTTTCAAGACTTAAACCAAAAACCCCGGCGACAATTAGCTCTTCCTCTGAAACGAAATTGGTCGATCAGCCCTCTCCTATCTCTTCCTTTCTTCATATTTGTTGGCATGTACAAGTCTTCTTCATATGCGATGTGACCTTTTGAAGACCAGAGCATGATGGGTTTTATCCCATAGTCTCAATTTCTCACCATCTCGTGAATGTTTTATCACATAGTATAACTTACTTCCTAATTGCTAATTGATTGAGTGAAACAGTGAATTATCATCTAAACTTTTTCTGTTTTTCAATTGCTTAAAATTGCTTAAAATAAAGTTTTACTACGTACAATTTTAGTAGCCCAAAGGTCTGCATTAAAAGGTTGCACGCTACTCTCTTTGCTAGATGTTAACGCGCAGGTTAATTTGGTCGGCTATATAATTTTGCAAATTATATTCCACACGTAAATTTTTTTTCCCAAATAAACAATCACGCATTGTCAAACGATGTATTTCTATTTTACGTGCAAACTAATCACGGCCCTAAACTTTACATGTAATAATCATTTTGCATGTAAAATTTTAATGTGTAAACTACCAAACGCCCCCTAAATTAAAAGTGATGAACTTTAAATACCCCCTCCATATTTATATATATGTTCCTACATTTGCTTCTGGCACAATATTTTAGGATATAATAGTAAGAGTAGTGAATAGTGTAGAAAAAGTAGGAGAGAGTATGTAAAAGTAAAAAGTAGATAGCATAAGGGTAATTGAGTATTTTATAAAGGATAAACTTACCAAAAATGGAAGTGTATGAAACTTTTAAATACATCCCAAAAAGGATAGTGTAGGAAACTTTTAAATACGAAGGGAGTTGTATTTCAGTTAG